GTGGAACAGAAGAAATTGTCACATATGGCACTTTCTATAAAGGAATAATCATTAATATGCTTACATTGTAAATATCGTACAAACGAATCACTACTTGCTATGTATATACTTTTCACAAACACTTAAGATCTTTTCAATATGAAATTGACAAAAATACCAAGTACTTAAGATAAAAGAAATCACATAAGAAAACAACTGCAACAATTTTTTTATACCAAAACTATTTTCATGTAATTTATCATAAAGAATCCATTTCATATTCAAAAAAGAAAACAAACAAAAATCCTAAATCTTTCCTATTTCTTAATAATTTCGAATTATTTCGAATTAAATATGAGACATTAACATTTTCCTTTAAATAAATTACCTCTACATATAAAAATTGCACTTCTAGATACATTTTTTGCGTTGTACCCTCAACTTTTTGCATGTATATATGTATAAGTACCACAAACTTAACACTAAAAAAAAAACAAGTTATAATTGGTCTTTCTTAATTAGAGCATTTACTTGATGAATAACTATTGTTCGCTAATATCACGTAAAAACTTGAGTTTTCGCACTTCTGCGCATGTTTGAATGACATTTCCGCCAATAGAAACAGAAGAAACGAAAGCTTGAGGTTTGCGCAACGGCAGTATCAAGCTTTTTGGTTTGGAAAGCGCTTGCGCACGAATATTCGGATATATAAGTGTGCGCGAGCGCTCTTCAAAGTCAGTTGGGTTCTCTTGCTCTCACGACTGACTACTTAATAATTAATGAATCCTTCGTGCAGGATGCAATGTGTAACATCCGTTTCATGCTAAAGGTCTTGGGTACTTACACCAAAAATTCTTATTATTTCCAATTTTGATTTAAAGTTGCACTTACTTAAGTTTCTTCATTTTTCCTTTTCAAATCAACAAGAAATAACGTATTAAAAATATGTGGGTAATACCATCGAAATGAATGATACAACGACGATGAAGTTTTTTTTTTTTTAAAGATAATTAACAATATTAACAACATCGTAAAACAAATATCACGAAAGCCCAATCCTGGGAAATAACATCTATGAATGTATGTAGTTATTACACGTTTAGAGCATAGATGTCGTTATTATTTTCAGAGTATGTATTCGATATACAACGATAAATTAATCACTCAAACAAGTACGAAATTCAATATAATAATGACAATAATAATAATAATGCGATGAAAACACTCAATAGTACCTATATTTATAATAATTATATAATATGTAAATGCTATCACGGTTTAAGTCTTGCATGAAACTCGATTTTTCTTATGTTTTGATTAATCATTTCAGGATCACTTTCGTGCATAATCGTATACATTTTATTATTCGTCCTGAAACATATTGAGTTTTAAAATAACCATAACAGTACACCTATTTTTCGACAGTAGAAAATATAATTATGTAAGATGATAGATTCTAAATTATTTATTATTCTGTTTTTTCCAGCTCCTTCTTTCTCATTCGCTATCGTATTTTAAAATATCAGTCAACATACATCGGGAATGCTTACGATTAATATACTGCAATAAACAGTCTCTCATCTCATCACTTTTATCTTGCGATAGTCACTTTTTTTTCCATCGTCAGTTAAAAATATGGCGCCATATTCCTGCCTATTGCTACTAAAACTAAAATATTTAACGGATAGAAAGAATTACGGTCACCCACGCGTATGTGACCACTTATCGAATTTAAAACATTTACATGTACCATTGGAGCCGTCGAAAACTCGTATGTTTTCACTGGGGAATTCCCCGTTAATTGATTTTACTATATTACAAGGGATACTGAAACAATTTAAATCAATTTTGGATCAGAAAACCTAACCTAACCCGAAAATACGTGTCTGAGACGCCATATGTCTACCTGATTTTATTGTTTGCTAAAAATATAAAAAAAGTGACGAACACTGATAAAATAACGTAAATACCTCGGCAGAGATCAAATGAAAAAAGTTCCTGTTCATCGTAATCCTCAATAAATCTTAAATTTATTATAAGTCAGTCTTTTGAAATCCGTCTAACAACTACAAAGTCGTGAGCTATGCAGATGGGTGCTACTACTGTCGTTAATATAGGTGAACATCCTTATTTATTCCCGCATTTTAATTAATAAAACACCTGTGAAGCTATGATGCACGGGCATTAGTTTTTATGCGTATATAAAAGGAAAAAACAAAAGGTAGTTTAAAAATAATTGGCGATAAATTCAGTCGTTCGGTTTTTATATATGTGTATGTATATACTGCAGTTTTCAAAAAATAAGTTAAGTTTATAATTCACACGTTAAAAATTCGAAATTCATAACCAGTATGTATAAAATATCCTACAAAGCCTTAAACAAACGATAAGAAACCGTTTTACATATAAAAAAAAACGACGTAACTGTCGTGCCGAGGTCTTATTAGAGATCGAACCATTAGACAGGAAGTTTTGCATTTTATTTACCCCCTTCTTTGGTCCGAAATAATTAATATAAAAAATTATTATATGTTCAATTCTTATACTTGAAATGTGGTCTTAGGCCTTCTGGCTAACCGCGATCAAAAATATTTACGAACATATATTAAAAATACCGTTGGAATGAGGAGATATTAGCAGGAGTAGGAGAACAGAGGACATACGCATCTAACGAGTCTTCGGGCTAAAGATGATGATGACATTAAAGAACTATAAAGATTAGAAAATACCACAAATGGCGCAGTAAACGCCATCTGTAGCACGATGCTACATTTTAGAATATGAAGATTACAATATAAAGATTTGTGACGAAAACTAGAACATGTCACCAATTTTAGATATCTACGAAGTTAGAAACATTCGATATGGACTTAATAGAAAAGACCCGAATCAAGTGCTTTCACCTTCCATAATTATGATTTTTATCCAAAACATTTAAAATTTTTTTGGTATCAAAATTCCCTGATAGTTTCCAAATTTTGCTGATAATTCCACATCGGATTACATCACAACATAANCTTAAAATAATTACAGCGCATAATCACTTCTATATCTTTTTGAATTCTTCTTTATCTAATCACTAAATGATTTTGTGGTGTCGCTAAATAATTACTCTAAAATTTTTTGGATTATATTTGCACTCAAGACAAAAAAATAAGTTTGAAAACTCTAAGAAAAGACCAATTGAAAATTATTCCCCATCTCCCAGGATATTTAAAAAAGCTTCTACTCCCTTATAGTCCCATACTTTCCCAAAAAAACAAACACCAATGCTTTAAAACTTATTTTTCCTGCATTTCAAGATAGTTTGCATAACAATTGTGAGAAAAGACTAACAATAAAACACACTTTTGTTTTTTAATACATTTATTTACTATTTCAATTGTTTACTTGTGTTTGAAGCTACTTTGCAATAACATTTTATAACAAATAAATACTTTTCTAAATTAAAACAGCCAACGAACTTCAATAGTAGGATATTTATAACAAATAAAATAAATCCTCCATAATTAATAGTCAACGTTGAATTCGATCGACACATAATAAAATTAAAAAGAAATATATTGTGTACACAGCTTTCTACTTTACAAATTCTATCAACAAAACAAAACAACGGAATAACATCAATATCAATATGAGAATCGATGTAAGAACTAATTTTAATTTAATTAGCCTTGTCTGCGTAGATTATGCAACTTTTCACAAGACGGCATCTTAATGTTCTGAGCACTTACAAACAGGTCTTTATCTCCAAAACTTTTCGCTTTCCACATCATTGATTCACCTAAAAATTGATTATTACCCTTTATAAAAATATAAAACTCAATTTAGCCTAATAGCATGCCAAATTTCCCCTAATTACTTTATATTTTGTTTCAAAATAACACAATAAACAAGAACTTACGATAATTCTTCTCTCTATAACAAGAGTGTCTCAAATTGGCCACATATTCCTCCTCAATAGTTGTCTCCAGTCGTTTAACAGATCCTTGATACTCACTATGGAAATTGTCTTTCACATAGTAGGGCACGTCTAGATTATGTGTTCTTCTCAGTATAGTGTACTTCCTGTAATAAAATCATTTAAAATAAACTGTTTCAATGATTGTACAGGCCACAACTCTTACGTAGTGGGTTGCAAACTGTATGCAGGATCAGATATAAAGAAACTGGATGCCATAGACAGAATTATAGCAAGAATAATTGGTAGCATCTGTAGGAATGCTGTGTAACCACTGGTCTGTTGCATCTGTAACCAAAAATTGAAACATAATCAGTTAGTTAACCACTGACAGTGAGAAAAATGCAGACTACGAAGAGTAAAACAGCAAACAAAAAGTTTCTTCTGTTAGTAAATAGAATCTTTCAATATTAAAAATGTAAACATACATCCCGGTGGCTGTGATGATTCTCTGAAGCACTGGTTTGACGATGCCAGCGTCCATTTCTTCTGACATACACATTAGGTCCTCCAAAACCGCCTCCAAAGAACATATTAAACAATTCTTCAGGGGTAGCATCTGACTCAAAACCTCTACTGTAACCATAGCTAGCTGTACGGTGCTGGTGTCTGGACAACCTTTCCTCATCAGTACCAAACATATCATACTGCTTTCGTTTTTCAGGATCAGTTAAAACAGCCACGGCATTCCCTAAGTAAAATTACTATTGAATTATTTCGTTTAATTATAAAATACATACCTACACTTTTTATTATGCTGGTTAACAATTATCTATACATAGTAGATACTTACCAATGGCTTTAAAGGCTTCTGCTGACCCTGGATATTTGTTTTTATCAGGATGCAACTGGAGGGCCAACTTCTTGTAAGCCTTCTTAATATCAGAATCTGTAGCATCTTTGTTTACATTTAAAATTTCATAGTAATCCTTACACTTCTTTATTCTTAAGACAGCTGTTGACTGTTCCTCAGTATATTCAATTACAGGTGGTTCTTCGACTTTTGTATTAAGCTTTCGTTTTCGAGGCTGCTCATGCTCTATGTTGGGAGCTAACAACTGAGCTTGCAGTAATAAATCTAGAACATTGCGTTCGCGTCATTTGTTAGCACCAAAAAAGTAAAAAAAATTTAACAAACCTTTGGCTTTTTGTGAAGGATAGAGCCTCTCGGCCTTCTTTAGAAATTTCTCTGCTTTTTCCTTATTTCTCTCTTTAATGTATTTTTCAGCCAACTGAATACACCGCTCCGCCTCATCTTTGTTAACTTCCATAACTAATTTTCACTTCACAAAATTATTAATTCTGATTTAAATTAAACTAAATGTTAATTTACCTATAATATATTTACAATTTTTCAGCTGTCACCCTTCAGCTGATTTCACAAGAACACGTCAGAATAGCCAACTTGTATATGAAAATTTCTCAAAACCTAAAAGCAAGCAGTAGAACCAACCTAATCTCATAAAAATTGTAGCACTATTACAAATTATTTTTGTTGTTTACGTTGTCTTATCGTAAGTCTAAAGCGGTAATTACTTTTAATTAATAAAAATTAACAATTCATAACTAAGTACTACGTGCGCGTAAACATTTGTGACTATGAATTACTAACATTGGTAAGAAAAACTAACGAAATAACTTCATCAAAACGTGCTATTCCTCTTTGATTATTAATTATAATTAATTTGCATAATTACATGTAACGAACAAATTAAGCATAACTTACTTATCGCGTACAAACTTAATATTTTATAATAAAAATAAAATGAAATTTTCTCATGGCTGCTTTTAAAATACATGGGTCGTTTAATAAGTCGCGTTAAACTGTATGCTACTTCTCTTCATTATTTTATGTTATTGTATTATGAAGGGTCTTGGATCATCCCTCAACATTAATCATCAATAATACAACTATTTATCAACAGCAATTTAAAGTTTTTTAAAAGAACCATATTGTATGTTTCACCAAACTGCCTTTAAGTACATAGTAGGCACTCAGCATTTAATAAAGTTAATGTTTTGCATAGTATATGTTATAGTTTTTGTTTTGTATCAGATAAACAGTTTTAGTGGAAATCTTTAAATTGTTTTTCTATGTACTTTGGATTTGCATAATGCATAAATCAAGTCAATGAATCAGTTTCGTTAATTTATACTTGAGATATTTTTGTATTGTATAACAATTAAACATAAAAGTGTTATTACTACAACTGTAATCAAAAAAACTTGTTATATTTGAAAACATTGCAGAACTTTTGAAATAACCCATGTATTTAACCGGTTGAATTGATCAGAGTTTCAGAGTTCATTGTTGTTAGGTTTTCAATATAAATTATGCTACTCGCCACTTGGTGGCAGCAGATGTATTAAAATAAGACCAAATGTTTGTTTTAAACGCAGAAATTACTTTAACATAATTAACTAGGCCTTTAAACAATAAAATTAAGTATTCAATTTTTTTTCATAAAAATTGGTGTTCCTAAAGCAAAGTGAAATTAGGACTTAATAACTTTAGTGCGTGTTTAATGTTACCTTTGATGGATGATTCTGCAGAAGTAGTAAGTGTTTTTAAATCTATTACATTTTTAGAATAGAAAATGTTTATATTTATGTGCAAAACCATATGTAAATTACAAAACAACAAGTTTCAAAAACATCTAAAAAGTTAATTTTTTTAATTTTAATGTATCTCGTATATATTTTTTAACAATCAAGGAACGTCCAAACAATGGAAGCGGGGGCTGTTACCCTTCTCATAATGAATTATCCCTTTTTAGGTTTTATTAAAAGAGATAGGTACACAACATTCTTATTTTTTAATATAATAAAATAATGATTACAAAAAGAAACAATGAAATTGTTTTTCTATGAAAATATTTTAATCTAATAACTCGTCCTTCTGTTTGATAGGGGTATGAAGGATATTTAATTTCATCGGTTAAGTTCATTCTTAAAATACCTAGTAATAACGCATTTAAACTTAATTACTTCTATATATCTGATGGAGATCTATTTACATCAATTTGATCATTTACTTAAATATTTAATTTGTTGTATTTATTAATATAAACACTTTCAGCTAGATTTAATTTATGGCTTTTTGGTAATTCTTTTAAAATATGTAAAATCAGCTTTCCCATTAGTATAACTCCTCCTGTGTTCTGCAATCCTTTGATTGAAGAATCTCTCACTTTCTTCTCACATAGACTTGATTACAGGGCACATACAAAAGTAGTACGCCTTCAAAGGAAAAATCAGATCGACTATCGATGTCATTTGAATGTCAAGTGATTTTTTATGTGGAGTACATAATATTTTTGAGAATTCAGCAGTGGTAGAAAAATAATTGGAAATACCATTAAAGTTCCGAATAACGTTTTTTGCGATAATTTTTGTCTACTTCATCCCTATCCGTCACACTTTTTGCTTCATATTGTGTTTTCGCTCTTCGAGATTTCAAATTAAGTAGACATAGGGCATTTTCACCTTCTCTTTCTACTCCCTGTTCCATGTGGACAGACCTAATGCTTAGAAACATAACCTCTCTCTTATCATCAATCATCTGAAGATCTGAACATGCTACCGTAGAAG